AGAAACACCAAGCCAGCACAGGAGGAGTCGTTCCACACGCACTGCGTTAACAATTGAAGTAATCCTGCGGCCTATCAGGCCAAATGTGTCCACGAGAGGGTACAGCCTACACGCGACGCTGGCCTAAGGGGAACGGAAGCGCATCCTTCCAGAGAGAAGATCACGTGGAGACATGCTAAGAGGAATCCTGGCTCTGATATCAACCCTCGCTGGGAAAATTAACACTAAACCTCCGTGAAACGGCTAATCCAAGAGTGGCTTAGAAGAGAACCCTGCTTATGTCCGGAGGCTTACAGCCTTCGGGCTTGTGCTCAGCAGCTTACCAAATTCATCTAGCAGACCTTGTGATTCCTGCTCGACATTGCATGAACAGGGCTCAAACGAAGGACTTTAGCTTCAAAGATTTACAAGGTCAATGGATCGCAGACCATCGACTTGCAGCTTGCAACGGCCAGCTGAAAGCAGTTGCTGCCATGATGTGCACAGCAGGCAGAGTCGAAAGTCAAGTTGCTATGGCGTGAGCTTGTGGATAAGGAGATTGACCATTTAACACGGTAGCGAGAGAGGCAACCTGGTTAGAGGGACAACTTTTTACACTACTCTTCAACTCCTCATGTCTAAGAAGATGGTGATGTGAATCCTGTGTGACATCGCGCGGACAGGGCTTGGGGATACAAGGGATTGGCGTAAACAGAAAATCTAAACCCTCTCTTTTGCCTGACATGGCAGCAGCCCGCCAAACTTGTGTCTCAATGCCATTGTTCATAGCTGCAAGTTCAGCGATCGTAAAAAGGAGTCCCCTAGGCAGCAACCATTTCTCCAATCGATTTGCAACTTCTTCGCCAGGATTTCACCTCAGCTTCGACTGGGGAGAATGTGTCTTCCTATGCAACAGGATGGGAGTTTGAGTTCACATTTCATGACATCTTACGAGAGCAAATATCGAAGCATTCCCAAAGCTCGGGATTAGAAAAGGTCCGATTTGGAGTTCCACCACACAACAAAGGCACCTACCAGTAGAGCATAGAGCAAATATGGGGTTCCGTTTGAAGAGTGAGTTATGCTAGGATTCCTAGAGCAATTCACCGAGCCCATCCCAGTCAATTTGCAGAAACCTTACGTCGATGAATGTTTTTCGTTTTCGTGAGTGGTTTAATGTTTCTGCCTCCTGAATCCCGTCAAGCTGTGCTCCAGCTAGAAACATGAACCCAGAGAACACTCCACAGATAACAAGAAACGTGCATTCAACAGAAGCTTCCAGCACTGAAGTAAAACATGCACTTACACGACAAGCCGCCGCCCGTGCGCGGACCTGGGAAAGCCATCGCGTGCCATCACAGAAGCCACAAGGAGTTTGCACCTATGTCAGCTGACCTCGTGCTGCAATGGTGGAAAGTGGCCAGGACAATTTCTATTAAATTTGCCAACACTACGCCCAGTATCGACAAATCAACAGCAAGCCAACGTAAAATGCGCATTGCTCGGGTGTAACCTTCCTTATTCCTGCATGTCGAATAACAAAGGTATTGAAAGGACGCTAGATGCTCATGGTTGAGAGGTGGAAAAAACGTCACGGCTGTGAGGTCGTGCATTTGCTTCACACTCAAGTTTCGTTGGAAAGTAGCTTTGGGGTCCTTCACGTATGTTGCGGCGCGGATCAAATCGCATGGAATCTGCAAAGCTATGAATGGGTCATTCCTTCCTAGCATATAAAGAGCTGCCACCATGCTGCTGCAGGTACGTGCTACCGCTACCCGCTACCATATCTCATATCTGCCAATTTGGGGGGGGGAAGCAACCAACCTGCTCTGTGCCACCTCATGTTTGCGCACATTCACGCTGAATCTATGTTGACATGCTTGCTACCCTTCCTGGCAAAGAGATACTGCGGATGCAGAATTCAATGCAACCACCTACCAAGGAGCATGTGCTCCACCCCCTGACTTGATCAAACTTGAGCCCAACATATGGCTGTGCAGGGGCTCTGCCTCAGGAAACTGAATTATTCAGATCCCCTGACCCGATCAGAGAAGAGGTTGTTTTGACTGTCACCCATCTGGAAGAAAGTTTAGGGCTCCCTTTCACCCGCCAAAAACGCTATGAAACGGTGTGCGCTTGACACCACATCAAGTGCAAGCTCATGCTTCACACGGCAAAACACAAGTGGCACGCCCACGGACACCATTGTCGAGAAGAAAGCTTGCATTTGCACCCCCCCTGCGCCAGGACCAACGAATCTGTTCTACAAGCGGTCAATCTCATTTTTCTCAGTTCAGTGAACTCAGTGCTTCTGAAACTTCAAGTGACCTGTACAAGCAGCGGTGGCAAGCACGCCGAAGTCTTTAGGCGTGATTCCTACATTGCACTGCTGGATGGCACTTGCACGCACCTGCCCTTGTGCATAGCGCTTACTTCCTACCCAAGTGCTGGATAAACTTTGCCTGGCTGTGTTCAGCCATGCAGGAAAGGGTGCTGAATTCTAGTTTGCTTGCACGGAAGAAAGGAAAGCAGTTCAGAGGTTCACATATCGTTGAAGACCTGCCGCTGAGCACTGAGGCAGTTTGCTTGTGGATGAACCTCATAACGCCTAGGCGTAGCAGCCCTAGCACTGCTACTGGTGAGCAAGATGCACGTCCTCATTTCTGACCAGCTTTTCACGAGCCAATCTATAGATGCTTGAAGCACGGAATGCGCGCTCCTTAGCTTTGCAGTTCCACTTAAAGCCTAGAGAACCACGACCGGCGGCATTGAGCATAGGTATTTCTTGGGTTGGGGACAACCTGCACCACGAAAGGCTTTCATCCAGGCAATGCGCCGAAGTCATGGCGACATATCCTCGCCGAATAGCAGCTTGTAGTCCTGCGGCCGCAGCCAACGGGGGTCAAGTGCAAGAAGGGTGCAACACACTCAGTAAATCTCATTCCTCCATGCTTTCCAGGGTGTGCTTTGGCCTCACTCCACTACCCGAGCAGCGCATCATTGCAGTGAGTCTTTCATGAGACTAGCTTTCAAGGCTGACTGTGGTTGACTGAGTCTTTTGCAGAAACTTCTTCAACTCCAGCCCGTGTTCACGAAGGAGCCTTCAAAAAGCAGGGCAGATGAGACAGGTGGGATGCGCAGTGACTTCTCGTCAGGCTTGGCCTTCGGCGCTCGTCCTCTATGATCAGGCGGCGCTTGTCCTCATCCTTTCGCAGAGCTTCTTGCTCTTCACGTTCTTGAGCCCGAGCAAGTTCATACCTGACGGCGGCAGAACCCGGCGGGGCTGTGCAACCCATGGGGGAATCGTATAACTTGAGCTAGAGCACATCTCGCGCCGAAGCTCCACCAGCCGCTCTGCCTCGCGCTTGTGCTGTTCGACCTGTTGCTACCCCAGCAGTTAGTGAGTTGCAGGAAACACCTCTTGCTTGACTGCTGCTATTGCATTCATGTGCCACTTCTCCCTGCCAGCCACCTTCATGCGCCGCTTCTGCTCGTTCAGCTGCTCCAAACGATCATCTTCAGCAAACTTTTTCAGCAACTCTTCGCGCATTCTTGCCTGAAACTGCCAGAATGGAGAAGAGCTGCCACGAGGCGCAACCATGACATGCCGCAGCACCTCTTCCTCACGAGCACGCATCATCTTTTCCTCTTTAGCTCGCATCTGAACGAGATAAGCGTTCTTCATCTCCTGTGCCATCCCAAGCATTCAGCAACGGCAACAACAGCGACACGGTAAGTGGCTCAACACACGAAAAAGGACGACTCTTAGATTCCTCTTTGTCTTCCAGCTTCTTGCGCATCCTGAAGAGTAGTTCCATGCATGCCCACGCCTCCAAGTCTAAGGCTGAGACACCTCATGGAAGCTGCTATCTCTGGCCGAAAGGCTGCATCTCTTCGCGTCTGCGCGACTCAGCTTCCAGTTCTTCCAGGTGCAAATCGTTGCGCAGCAATTCCAGCTCCTGCAGGGGTCAAATTTCACCCTTCCTGGTCTTGGCAATGGCCCGTTTCGATGAGCTCCAGATCAAATATGATCAAACACACTGGCTGTGCCTCCGCTTCTTTGTTCTTGGCCTGCATACTACATGGCTGTCAAATTACCACTGCTTAAAAGGAGGGGGGTAGGGGGGGGTGAGAATTTGTAATTTCCTAAAACCTGGTTGCATCTTTGGGTTGGGGGAGGGCAGGGGAGTCCTTGGGTGAAGAACCAAACCCCTAGCACCTATCCTATCGCCTGTAACTACTAGGCGAAACCCTATTGGGCGCAACCCTATCACATCCTATCACCCATCGCCTGTAACCACTAGGGCGAAACCCTACCTTGAACCACTATCTATCCATCTTGAGCAACATACTCTCAAACCACATGTCCAAAAATGCTATCTCTGCCCTGCCCCCACCCCCACTCTCAAAAGAATCGGAACATAAACATAGGAATTAGGAATTTCTAGGGGTGATCCCCACCCCCCCTGTGCCAATCGTTAGGGGGTGCCAATGTTGTCAACGGCGCAGGCAAAACAAGGGATCTTTGCAACTCGATCCGTCCGAGTACTGACCGTGTTCTGTTTCCCATCTTGCGGGTGTCTTGTCCCCACTGCAAGCCTCTCAATTGACAAGCCCAGCATTTGAGGAATGTTTTGCAAGCATGAGACTGACTTTCCTTGCGTTTCGAGATGGCTTACAGCAATTTAGCCAGCGGGAGCTAGGTCCGGTTGCCAACTCATTTCGCGACTAACTTGAAAATTGCCTGTGTGGCTACTCCGGAAGTGCAACTGCACAAAAGGATGAAACAAATCATGTTTTAGTGACATTTAATGACACTTTCTCTTGCAGTGCGCAATGGATCAAGATGGTCCAGGAGGCTCATAGAAAAAAGCATCTCCCAGTCTCGCGGAATCACGTTGATGTGTGCCGGACAACGAAGGCTCTGACATCAACTGAATGCCGATATTGCTGCCACGTGGAGTGTTGGGGGCCGTAAACAGCATGCCCAAGAAACCATTCCCGGATGCCATGGAATGGCAATATTCCTAACAAGTTAACTGCTTCACAAATCGGGGACCTAAATGCCGGTTCAATCCATCAACGAAACATAGGCGGACATAGGAATTTTGCATCTGCTAGACATTCAGGGGCCCAGGATTGTTGTAGGACACAGGGACTAGACTGCTCTGATCTGACGGCCTCCATCTGGCCCAGCATGGCATTGAGAATGCGAAGCTTCTCCTTCAGGGGTTCTGGCTGGCACTTGCAACTGGTTCATGTCATCTGGCAGAAGCTACCGATTGTGAGCAACTTCCCTGGCGCGCACGCTTCCAACCCATGCCAAAGAACCAGCACAATCTTCGTTTGGGGCGTGCATCGTCTCGAGGTCAAATTGAGGCAGCGCCTCAAACGAGTATCAAGTCTGGGGGGCCTCCGATGTGGTCGGAAGCTTGACTTGTATAAAAAAAGTCGCAACCTGAAACATCATGAGAATTACTGTAAGTCAGACTGGGGTAACTCCAAGCAAAACATTCGGTAGCTATGACCACTGGATCCTACAGCCTAACGTCATCATCCCTCAGTGCAAAATTTTGAAACCCCACACCTTTACTTGGTCAAAGTATGTCAAAGGAGTGTCCTCTTGCCACGGAGCTCAAAACATAGCTGCGCGATTCCGAATTAACCGTTAACCCCTCCAAGATCGATGTATATGGCAGGTTCCTGGTCCACCTTGAACAATGTACGAGTACTTGCATCGTTCGTGTTTGCACCGATGTTGGAAAATTGTTTACGCCAGTCCTGGTTGCTTTCCCGTTCGTGTATCAACCCCGGTCGGTGCCGACAATTTGGGAAACGCGTGAAACAATTTTGGATCCCAGTATTGCTCGCATCTGGCTGGTCACTCTTTGGCTCCCCAAGGAGCTTCAGAGAGCCGTTGGAGGAAGCTCAATGAAGCTCGGAAAGAAATCAATGAATTTTGGATTTTGCCTTTTCTATGGAGGGATTATGCTAGAGCATATCTGATTTACGTTCCGGCCGGCGCGTACGCACATGTTCCAGTGATGTTCATGACATTTGCCCTGGAGTGTCCTGCCCGGTGCTTCCGGCCGGTGCCCTCGTCAGTGTCCTGGTTGTCGTCCGCTTTTGCGGTCGCGACCATCTACTGTATCTGCTAAATCCTGAAGTAATCTGAGCTTTCAGCCTTTTTTGCATTTGGTATCCCGATCGATGTTTGGGAAGCTTTTGGAAGAGCTCTGGGAACCTTCTCCAAGCTTAAGCTTAGTTCGTCTCCCGTCCGGCACCAGATCCGGGGTCCAGCACATGTGAGAGTGGATGAAATTTCTTGTCCCAGTTCATGTCATAGTCAGTGTTTGAGAGCTTTCAGAATATCGTAAGACGGTCTGGGCGGTCGGTGTCCTGCTTGGCGTCGCGGTCTGCATCCCGGTCAGTGCCTGAGCGGTGTCCTGGTACAGGTCCTGGTCGGTGCTTTGACCGGTCTCTCCTGGGTAGGGCGGGTCGAAATCTTAAAGCTCGATTGCGTCGGCGTCATACGATGTGAGCGCATTTGCGTCCGGTCAGAGATTACTAATTAGAGGTGGCGATTCCCTTCGGGGTGGCATTGTTGTGAGGGCGAACTGCACAAGTTGCCCACCCCTACTGTCGCTTCACGCTGGCCTCGACCTGTACTTATGGTTTTCTTGAATTTTGATCGCGCTTTATCGAGCTCATGACAGGATTCTGGGAAAACCAAGATTTGGATTCGATCGATGTTCTGTCAGCTCAGCTGAAGTATGCCCCGACTCTGCTAGCAGACATGGAGAAGAGTGTCTAGCCACAAGGAGGACGCAAATTTTGAAATGGCCGTGTGTTCTTTTTGGACGCTTGGGATCGGCAGTGATTCTCGCGAGGGGCACGAGAGAAATCGGAGCCAGACAATTTAGGAGAAAGTGCGTCAACTGGAGAACGCGGTCTGTGCAACCGTTGTTTTTCAATTGAAACATAAACAAACTCCAAGGCGAGCCCGAGAACCAAAACTACGAAGTGCTCAACAGATTCGAAGCTCAGACAAGTCTTCTTCAGGTGTTAGCAGGGGCAATTGACGGCTGTAGCACGGTAGGAAGGCTGCAGACAAGATGCAGACTGCCAGTTGCAGTCGCCCTGCTCGCGCCTGACTTGCCGTGTTAGCGTTAGCAAGTTCATGGACACTTGGCCGCTCGTCAGGATTTCCGGCCAAGATATTCGCGTCAGCAAAGCATTCCAATGCTCGCTGAATCTGCATCATGTTTTGGTAATGATGTTGATATGTACCAACACAAAAACGGGAGCTGTTGCGCTGAGGCATTTCCAGTTTGTCAATCCGGATCCCGTCAACTACTGTCTGCCCACACTTTTAACTGCCAGCAGCTGCCAGCGGCGAAGTACGGTTTGATGCCATCCTTTCACAGCTGGACCGAAACATTATTGGATTTTCATCCGGTCATGTAGTAAGGGGCAGCCAAATGGAAAATGTGCTCTTCAAGGTTTAGGGATGTTTAGGGTATCAGGCTTCGAGATTGAACATCACAGAAAGGCTTGTTAGGCACGAGCTTCGAGAGACTCCAGACAGGACTCCAAACCGCAAAGGCCAAAGATATAGCGCACAGCGTCTGGTTCTGCATGGGGAGATCTCACAGAATGTTTTCGATGCAGCAAAGTGGAGATGCTCAACGTTGGCTGGTGACTGAAACGTAAGCCCCCGGTAAGCCAGAACCCATCATGGAACAGCTTGCAGCGGTGCATCACATTACAAGTAAGAGTGCAAGTTCCAGATTGCCACTTTTGCAATGTTGGAACATCTCTAAGGAGCTTGCATCGAGATAAAAAAAGCAGCATCCATGTAGAACGCAGGCATCTGAAGCTTGCGTTCGTCTAGTTTGCGCGTCAGGAATTGAGCCATTGCAAACCCGGCTTGCCTTGCCGTCAGTCAATCAGCCAATCATAGATTAACATTGTGGGTTCATTGTGTGCCATTACGGGCGTACGCAAACAAACCAGGCTTCCGCACCTATTTCTTTGGTCCAAATTTCAGACTTTCAGATCCCGAGGCGGTGTCCCAAGGTTTCGGAGCCCGGGACTGGGGGTGCGAGGTTGTGACCTTGGGGCCGAGGCTTGAAAGCTTGCAGGTCCAGGTACGTCGACGTCTTATGTTTAGCATTTCGATGCCGTCTTTCAGCCAAAGCCCAACACAGAGCCGAGGGTTTCAATGGCCCAAAGCCTTGCCACGAAAGATCTTGAACACTCCTTTCAAATCCTTGAAGCTACTCTGGACTTGAAGCCTTCAAAGTCGCATCGACATCTTCCAGAACCTGTGATTCATAGCTGCGGCTAGTCCACCTCTTGTATATGGACATCATCAGGATATCAAATCTACTGCAGCAGCTTCAGGTTTATGAGCAGCAACAAGAAAGAACTTACATGGTCGAAGATTCATTCTTTCGAGAAGCTGTTATCCCAATTTGCCTGTAGAAGTAACATTGAAACGAGGCCGCTGAAACCTGGCTAGGCATCCAGCATCAAGACAAGAACGGAGACAAAGGGAGACAAGGCCCCCGAAAATCCGGGTAGGCATCCAGCATGAAAAGGGAGACAAGAGGGTAGACAAAGTCGCCGAAAACTCGGCCTGGCCTTTCGGAATTTTCGAATGAATCAAGAACCTCAACAGTAAAACTGTTTGCTGTGGGACTTGAATAACCCCGAAACAAAGCTACCTCGGCCTGCGGCTATGGGGCTCCACAGCTGATTCTACTGAAGCTGGGCTGAACCTGACAGACGGCTGTTGCTTCTCGATCTGCCTCTTACGGCTTCCTCCTTTCACATTAACTGGACCCACTTGGGAAACCGCGGTGAAATCGAAGCCGTCACCCAGCTTTGTCTCTGAACATTCTTCAGCTCCCCAGCCCTGCTGTCCACGGACTGTGCTTCCTGATGAAAGCTCTTAAGCGCTGCCTCAATTCTGGAGGTTCCCGACACTCCCTTTCATATCGCAAGACCGCCAGAACAATATCCTGCACCACCCTCTTTCTCAGCACACCTCTTTGACCTAGAATGTCGATGAAGGTAATGTAGGCGTGGACCGACATGGCTGCCCACGGGGCAAGTTGCACCATGCTTTCTTAGCATATGGTTTCAGGAGCAGGACCACCCAAATGAAAGCTAGAGGGGCTTCTGGTTTCCGTGCGGCAGAAATCTGACAACCTGCTCTCCAAGCAGACGTGAACTGTGTGCTGCAGGTCTTGTAAATTCTCACTAGGCTGGGGCATGCAGTTTGGGCGTCCCACGATCTGATCTGTCTTAGCTACCCCCGTGCAATAGCCGCATCTCCAGGGGACAACCGTACACGCTCGGTTCTGAGGAGCACTGGGCTTCCATTGGGCTCGCAGCACCGTCAAGAGCAAGCTGCAAGCTTACAAGTTAGAACCATTGCAGGTTAAAGATGAAAGAGGCCGTGATCCTTCTCCTTTTCCTGTCGCTCTTGCTCCAATCGTTCCTGCAAGGTGCAACGCAATGACGAGACACTCTTGGACTACATGCATTATTCGCATGACTGCTGTTGCCCGGCCTCCCGTTCACGTTTGTCACGAGCAAATTGCTCAATGCGCTCATTCTCGGCCTTCTCTTCCGCCTCCATTTTCTCCTGGTTTGCTTTCCTTGGGGCTCAGGCCATACAAGTGTAGTGACCTGAGCCGCCCATACTCGCCAAGGGGCTGCTCCACCATAAACTGCTGCAACATGATTCGTGACCTTAAGAGCCAAAGTAATTTGATATGCCTTGCGGCAAAGATCCATGTCCGCTCGTGCTGCTTGCCAGGCATGAACCACATGCACATCTCCGAGCTGCTCCATTTGCTTCTCAGCGCGCGCTTTCGCCTCGTTCGCATCCTCGTCAGCGATCTTGGCCACAAGCTCTTCCACTTGGTTGCGCTCCTTCAGGCACATCAGTGCAAGCAGCTCTTGTGAATCCTGTCGGCGTTGAATTCCCGTGTGCCAACCGCAAAAGCACTGAAATTCCTTCATGTACTCTTGCAAAGCTTCCTCTCTTTGTGCCTGGGGCGGGGAACTTTCGGCGCAAAGGCTAGGTAACTGAAACTTAACACTAGCCTCCTTCATCGCAATCTGCTGCTGGTTGATCACCTTCACACGCTCTCGTTGTCTCTTCTTCTCAATGTCGAGCTTGTGCTCCAGCTCCTGTTCTCGGGACATAGCAAAAGATCCCAAGTCCTTTGCCACTGAGGTCAGAATCGTTGCTGCAGCCCAACTTCCTGTTGCTCCAACCTCTCATTCTCCATGTGCTCAGCCAACAAGTGGCCAGTGATCCGGTCCTTCTCTTTACGAACCTCGCGGAGCGTGACTGTGCAGTCCAAAACACATGGATTCATGGCTTCAAGGCTCGTCCCATGCGCCAGTAAAGTCGCAGCCGCAGAACTGAGGCATGTATCTGAACGGCTTGCGGGGCTGCCCCCCTCTGTCGCACTTGGCAAAACATGTCAAGAGACGAGGAAATGGCTAGGATTCTTCGGCTTTTGCAAATGCATTTTTCTTAGCCTTTTCCTGCCCAAATATCTTTGGGACACCCTGCTATTGAAACACTGGGGTGCACTTTGCGCATGTTTTCTCCACCCGCACCGAGGCGGATGCAGCATCCGAGCCCTGATGCTGCAACGCCGGGCAGTCTTGAAATGATCGCTGGCTGCGGTTGGCACTCAACAAGAAGCTAGATTTGGCTGACTAGGAGGTCAGCGTCCCAATGGTGTGTGAGAGGGTATATCTACTATGCTGATGGGAGATTGCCCAATCCCACGTGCAGGGATGGCAGCCGCCGTTTGGAAACCGCAGTATCTTTCAAATGCCCATACAACAATAAAAGCACCACTCGGACATGCCTAGGATGTTGCAATGAGATTGCCGTATTGCTGTTGCAAGGAGATGATCTAGGACCTATAGGTTGAAAAAAAACCGCAATGCAAGAATGAAATAAACATCAGGAATTTTCTGCAAAAACAAACCGTATGTTTCTAAAGATGGCTAAATGAATGAGTACTGGTGAGGATTCCTTCAAGGCAGACGAGCCCCTCTTCTTCGAAAATATTTAGCTTGTCTAAGCTGACACGAATGTTTGAATTGACGCGAGATAAGGATTTAGCTTGGTTCTTGAAAATGCGTTCCTTTTAGATGTTAAGGTTGATAGCTAAAATCTCCACAGACATACATACACATAACATTCAAGTTGAGTTCAAACGCAACAATTGATGGGAAGGTATGCACACTGTTTTCAAATATCAAAGCTGTCCTAAGGACATTAAGGTAGATTGTCGGATATTTGGTTTGAATTGAGAATCATTTGTACATCGAGCATCTATGTTTTGGAAACATGAAACCATACCCAGACAAGATTCGACATGATGCGGTGAAAAGCCAATCCGCCGATCCCAGCGGGGCGGCGCCAAGAGACTCCTTCCCCTCTCCCTAATTGCATCGCATTGGCCTTTAATGCGACCCCTGCTGGGTGCAGCTCTGGGCGGGGCCACATGACGCCTGGATCCCTGCAGTGATTTGTTTTTTTCCTGAGCAGCTCTGGATGCGTCGATTGTTTCTCCTTCCAGCAAGCTTCTTGCTCCATCGTAGCACTTGTTTATTATTTTGCTGGCTGGCACCCCCTAGCTTCTGGCCCAGACATACCAAGCTGAACGAAACTATGCCCTGGCCCTGGATCTCTGGTGTGCAATGATGGTTTTTCCGTAGCAGCTCTGGATGCGTCTGCATGTTTTCTGCTTCCAACAATGAGCAGGTCCAGCTTTTGGCAAACACTACCCCTTACTCCACTGGCCCTTCCCTCTTTTATGTGAAGCCCTAACTTCAACTCCCATCAGCGGTAGCATCTAGCAGTCATTAAATCTGGCCACGCCCTTTGTGCTCGTTTGAACTGTGGGGCCATAGCTTGGTAAAAATGAGGGAGTGTGCGCGAGCAAGCCGCCGAACCTGCATCATCGGACCTCTGTTTTTTCAAGGGGGACCTCGAACCTGGGGAAATAAAAAATGGATAAATGAGGCTGACGATGCTGGCGAGGGGGCCAGCATCCTTGGGGTCCATTTCTCCTTTTTGTGGCTTCGGGTCTGCCCGTGCGCTCTCAGCCACACACTGATGGAAGTTAGGCCGCACGCGCGCGCGCGCCAGAGAAGCTGACTTATGACACGCGCGCGCAATTCTGGCATGGGCCTTGACAACTGACACAGCTAAACCTGCACGCAATTTGCCCTCCGGCGTTGCCCGCTCCTAGCATCAGCCCCTAAATGATCCAGGGATTTTCATAAAATTGTACTAAAGTCCTTCTGCCGAGCCAGCACCCCCTTTTCAGACCCAGTTTTCCCCACCCAGAGACAACACATCCGCTAGTAGTACCAACAATGAGCCACCATCAGGTTCTCGCGACTGATCTTCCCGTTGATCCCTTTGTTCATTTCAAATGGCCTCGATTTCCAGCAGCTGTTGGGCACGCTCCTGGCAATGAGCGTGAGCAGAAACGGATGCAACGGTTTGTCTGCCGCACTGTAAACACAATCCGCCCCGTCCTTGTTGACCTTGGCCATGTGAAGCCTTTCCTTCAAAACCCGAAGCTCTTCAGAACCGTCACAGATTCGGCGACGATCCATACTCAGTTGTGAATAGCTCTCCCGAGCAAGACTAAAGTAACTCTCAGCTTGTGAAATCAAACATTTGCTCTACTGCAGCCGCAGATCTCGTGACGCATTTGCTCGGCTTTTCTTTTTGCTAGCTCATCCGCCAACCTTTGCGCAGTAGGGTATGGACGAAGAAATTTGTGGCAAACAGCTGCCTGCAAAATCACAGTCAAGCTTCTGCTCCTCAAACTGTGCAATCTGGACTCGCTTGGTTTTGTCTTGCTCAGTCTTCACAAAGCCTTAGTTGCTGCAGGGGTGGTGCAGTGCTGTATGCATATGTGTGCATGCATGCTTCAAAGCCTTCATGATGGACTGCAGTTCTGTGCGCATCAAGAATCTGTAATCCATGACCAGCTCCCGTCGCTCAGCCGCCTCTGACAGAGCTCTGCGCTTTTTTTCCACGTTGAGCTCGCTCTTTCCATAACCTGCATAACCGAATGGAACCGCGGACTGACTAAGCAATGTCCGACCAAAAGACCCGTAACCGAGCTCATTTTTGCTGAGCATCCGCAACTGCATGTTTTCGACTAGCGCGGCCTGCGTAGATGTTATTCTCCATGAGTCGCCGACGGAGATCTAGATCTCTTGCTTCCTGCTCGCGCCTGTGCTAGGGCGACATTTCGACCGCTAGAGACACGGTGCTACTGCTGGGCCGGTTAGCCTGGCCTTTTGACAATGCGCTGCTCAACGAAGCGCTTGGTGCTGGACATGCTGGCTGCTAAAACTAATGCTACTGCTTCCCCGATGCCGACGAGACAGTTGTGATTTCAAAAAAAATTAGCTGCTGCTGCTCTTGCCACCCTTGATCCGTCTAACTGGCTCGGGCAAACAAGAGCGGACCTCCGATGACTTGACCACCAACAGACCTTGGACCAACCTTGTGAATCCCTTGGCGAAGGGAGGTGACTTGAACAAAGAGAAGAAGATTTGCGAAGCTGTGCCTCCGGAACGGGGTGTTCTTCAACTCCCGCCTCTTTTCTTGCATCCCGGCGGAGCTGACAAACCGCAACCCTAATCAAGCCTAGACGAAGGGGGCGAAGCTTTGACGAAAGCTTTCACGAAGGGACGAGGGCTGGTCGAAGGGAAGTGGGCTTGGACGAATCTGGTCCAGGGTTTTAGAGCCTCCTGGCCCTTTGGACGCCAAGAAGCAGTCAAAGAACAAAGTTGACAGCAAGACTGAGCAGACTATGAAGCAGAGCTGGGCAGCAGTAAAAGCAAGCGCACAGCAATCCAGATTAGGTGATTTGTGCCCCGCTCCGATACTGCAAGCGCAGCGCCGGTGCTACGTGCAGGCAGGACACAACTCGAAAAAAAGCAAGTGCTTCGCACGTCCATTTGTTTCCAATCCCTGATGCACAAGATCTTGTCTTACAGCACCATATTATTGAAAGTCAGCCACCCCAACTGAATGCCCGTACGGCTCTCTCAAACAATCCAATTTGCCATGCTCTCGGAACAATGGCAACCAACAAAGCTTGGGTTTTGATCCTGCGTGGCTCTAGAGCTGTTCTTTGACTTGACCGTCCGGAGTCACTTCTACAGCATAGGACCAGTGCAGCGACCTTCCTGGCAACTTGGACTTTCTTAATGGTGACACTGGCCAGGGAACTCGCTTCCTTTCCAGAGAGCTGGCATGGAGACCTGCAGCTAGTTCCAGTGAATCTCTTATGATTTTGTGGTCATTGCATAGCCATGTTCGGACTTCCCCATTGTGATCTGCAGCGTCACGAATATCTGCAAAGCTGCTCCCAAAGACAATCGTTACTTCAGTCAGTGGCTCGCCGTTTTTCGCTTGACTTGTGTTCCACAGTGCTGCTTGCTTGATGGCGTCGGTTCGGTCCGCGACAACAAAAACATTTAGGGCTTTGTCAAGCTTGAGCCATTCCCGTTGCTGACGCACGGCATCTAGCACATCCTCAAGGATCTGCATAGGTGGCTCTCCTCGTGGACTGGCGGATGTCAGCATAAGCTTATCACAGCTTGCCAGCGCCCAACCATATTTGGCCCTATCGCCTCGAGACACTTCACCGTCACAGCCAAACACGGCAGTTACCCGCGGACTGGCTGCTTGCGACATGGAAGACTTGAGCACCTGCAAGGCTTGCATAACATGCCTGGGCGATGCGGCCTCATGCAATATGATAGTGCTGTCAGGCAGTGACTCGTTGGTGAAAACTTCAAAAGTTCCGGGCGGCGGCTTGACTGTCTCAAGTGCTGCTGCTAGCTGTTGCATGTTCGCCTCTGGATCTTCCTGCCTCAGGAACTGTCCAGCTGCGCAGAGGGCTGCAACAGCTGCACAGCTGGTTTCTTTGAGCAGTGTCACCTTTGCGTTGCATTCAAGGTCCATCCCTTGGAGCTGCAACTCAACGTGCTTCATATGGTTGATTGGAAGGATTCTGCCTCGAAGGCAATTTGCAGAGCCGGGCAAGAGGGGTTGCAAGTCCCCGTTGTCAGGCCTCTCTTCCAGTGGTGGAAGACATTCCTGCAGCATAGCCAGGAGGTCGGCTTTGGCGGCGCCTTTCGGAAGAGCTTCCAATCCCAGATCTGAAAGCCTGTTGATGATCTCCGATTTAGTCAGCGCACTTAGTTCAGGGTCCTGCTCAGCTTCCACTGACACGTCTTCAAGGCTGTATGTCGCGACCGGATCTTGGGGCATCTCTGCCACGCTACCCTCAGGGCAAACTACTGCCCCAGCAGCTCCAAGACATGTTTGACGCTGCGTCCCACCATTCAGCTCATCAGCAGTCTCACCCAAATCCACCACGAAGTCAAACTCAACTGCATCAAAGGCTTTCGTCCCGGGAACAACTTCCACAACACACATTTCAACACCTGTGCCTTCCATGCGGCCTATGAGCTCTTGAGCTATGCATGGTGTGAGCGAATGGCAAATGTCCTTGCTACTAAAAGCCGCCATAGAGCGTCGGTCACTTATCAAGCCGGTCCTAGCAGCACCCTTTGAGGCCTCCAGCAGCTTGAACAGAAACCATGCTGCTGTTCTGACATCATACTCCTCGCCACCGACAATTCCAATCAACTTCGTCACGCGCTTAGCAGGAGAATAGAACTGCTTAGCCAAGCGAGATGCAAGCGAAGTCAGTGACGACGATGAATCCGACAGAGCGACGACGGCTTGCAAACCGAAGTCTGAGAAGTTGGAGACTTCAAAAAGTGCACGCAGGGAGCTGAAGACTTTGTCTGTATACTCTGCAGGCTCAACCATAACTCCGATTGCAGAAACGCCTTGCGTCACAGCTTCCTGGATAACTTCTGGAAGGCTATTGTCATGGGCCGCCTCAAAACTGGCAAACTCCAACAGCAGCAAGTCGCCGTGCTGTGTATTGGCAGCAACATCAACCAGTCCGGACACCCGGATTCCCTCATCACCAAATATCGTGGAGCTGTTGCAATGGCATGCTTGCAGTAGCTCGTTCAGTGTACGCGGATGCAAGGCCAACGATTCAGCTGCAGGGGCCCCAGCCTGTAGCATAGCAACCTCGCCCGAGCCCAATGACAGGCTGCTGCGACAAATCTCCGACATCGCAGCCGCCACTGGGATGCGCGCACTTTGCGCATTTTGGGTGAAATCGTGGTTGCTGGGTGATGGAGGGGTAGAGACAATCGTTTGGTCTGCCTGCTGATCCAACTCAGTCTCCATGTCCTGTGGCACTTCCAGATTGTGGTTGGCCGCTTTGAGGTCTTCAAGGAGATCCACCAAAACGGCAGCGCCGGATGCCAGGTCAGTCTTTTCGTCCTCCTGGACGCTGGCTACCAAAGCAGCGACATCCTGGCCATCCTGATCCACATCACTGCAGCCCGGCTCACTGGAATCTGCAAGGTTCTCCAAATAACCCAATGCCAAGAGCCCATCTCGGTTCGACTTTGGTGGAAAGCTGCTGCCTGCAGCTTGGCTGCAAAGACTGTCAAAGTTTCGAATCTGAGCCTCAATTGTTTCTATACCTGCCGCAAGATCTTCAGGATCTGCAGATGGAATGTCTGGCTGCTCGAGTGATCGTCTCCTCTGCCAGCACCTCTGCTTGCGCGCAAAATGACAGGTCTTGCAGGCTGCAAGGCTTGCAAGGCCCAAGCTTGTGGCATAAAAACATCTTTGGTCTCTTTGCTCTTGTAGCCGTCTCTCGAACGCTTGGCTGCCAAAGGAAGGCCGCAGTCTAGGCAACCGAGCGCAATGAGTTGGAGGTGATCGCCACCGAACCAGCGAGTCGAGCATGGCACTTGGCAAGGGCTAGGGCATGTCAAGCAATGTACATGTGTGCAAGCATATGCCGAGGTTGCTTTTTTAGCTCTGCCTGGCCTGCTATTCAAGCGTAGGTGGGCAACGCACATCGCAGCCACTCCACATGTAACATTTGACATGGCACATAAGTGAACATGAACACTATGGCAGCTGCAATTTGGTTGTGAAGCATGAAGCATCACTTTGGCATGTGCTTTGTAAAGTCAGCTAGGCGGCTGAGCTATCCTACTCTTGCATATCTTGCATGGGCACCAGACAATGTGCATCCAAAGCTGCCGCACGAGCAATGGACCTGCTCGTCTTTCCCGAGGTGTCATGGCAAACTTCGTGCGGTCTCCTCATAACTGCACAGACACCAAGCTCACTGGGCGTTGGCAGCGCGCTTCTTCATGGCAGCCTCAGGTTAAGCTGGGCACATTTCAGACTTCAGACAAGTAAAATCTCAATTGTCAAGACTCGACACCATCAGTAAGCGACAGCTGAAAAAGCAAACTGAAGATGAAGTCAGCTTGTCGAGGCAGAACAAACAAGATTGCCCTACTCCTGAAGTTGTTCATGTCGTGTTGCACTTAGGACTGGGGGCCCGCTTCCCAACCCGTCCCTCATGCCCGGACTCATGCCCTCTGCTGTTGGAAAGGCCGGACAGCATAGCTCTTTTGCTGCAAATGTCGCTGCGTCTACTGGCAGGACCTGCAGGATCCTCGGGGTGTGCATGGAGTGGTGAGCGATGTGAGTACGATACACCCGACATTTGATTTACAAGAATCCTCCAATCCGAATCGTCGCGTTGCCACATGATGCCTGTAGCTTCTAGAACCTTCTAGCCTAGCCAAGAAAGGACGCACATCTGTGATAGAGTAAGGCTGAGGCAGCTATAATCAACTTTTTTTGGGACAGAAAGGCACCAACAAGAATTTGACTGCTCGAGGGGGATGGAAGTTCACGAAGCTAGTGCGCGCATGCGTGCGCGGCGCGTGCTTGTTGCTGCATTGCAGCTCTTGGGGCTTTTGGTGAGGGCTCTTGAGGCTCTTGATGAGCACCAAAGCACTGCCGGATGTGGACCGCAGATGACCGCAGTCCAACAATCTGGTTGCTTCTAAGTTTTGACATGTGTCCACAAGTCGAAGTCAACACGCTGCAGAGGATGAAGGGCGCTCCAACCAACAACATCCAACAGCCTGTGCCTGAGATGGTGCGACGCATGTCGCTTGGAAAGGAACAATTTCCCTCTGCTTCTTACACTTTTCGACCATCCGAGGCAGCCAGACCCGAATCGCCTGGGCCGGAAGCTGCCTTAGGGCCCTCGCTTTCAGCAGTCAATCACGCGAAGGCTCGAAAGCAAATCAGCTCACATGTCTCACCTGGAGGTCCTTACAACTAAGCTTGGCCCAAGGAACAAGATTGGTTAACAGAAGCCCCCGCGAGCTCCATGGAGCTGGCTTTTATGAATGCAGAGCATGCGCCGTGCTGCAGCAACAAGCAACTCCTCTCACTGCATTCTGTGGCGCCAGCCCGCATGTTTTTCATCATTCCTCGCGATACGCCATAAGATGCCCTGCAGCCGAGATTATTGACTGGCTTCCGAACATGGTGGGCAGGGCAACATGACCGAGGCCCGTGCCCTTCAGACACCCGTCCTGAAGCATCCGCATCCCAGAAAGCCCTGCAGTCCGAAGAAAGTTCATATCCGTTTAACACCTCCCGTCGAAGCATGACATCGCCGCAGCGACACAGGCTCACACTCGGGGTTGGTTTGGAGCTCATTCAATGCCTTGAGGCTTCGCCTCTCCAAGGCACAGTACATCAATCGCTACATGTTGAAGAATTGTCAATGTATGTGTAGGCCTCAGTACCTCATCATCTCGCTCATTGCGCACCTGGCATTGGCGGCATCAAGCATCAAGAGCAATCGCTTACTGCGCGCTTGTGCGGGCTGCCTTAGCAGCAATTTTAGCCGCACTCCTGCAGCTTCACAGCGCACTTACCCAGGCTTCCTTCAGCTGTGATACGGTACACAAGGCCATCTTGCGTGTCAGGATGCCCTCCCTGTCATACATGCGGGGTCGGGGCGCTGGCGTGGCTTCTGTCGCTTCTTCTGTCCTCAAGTGTGTCAGAGAAGTCGCAAGGTACGGAGCCTGTACACAGAGCATCACACAGCAACCAGACAATTTCTGTTTTCCAGACTGACACGCCGTGGAAATTTGCGATTTGCCCGCTGCACCTCTCACGCATCTCTTGCAAACTGCAGCCACACAGCTCCTGCTCATCTCTATAGAAAGATTCCTGAGTTTGCGAGGCGGCTGAGGGAATGCTACATCCAAATCTCCATGAACCCCCCTACTTTAGGACTCTGAGGTTCGAGGAAATGACGCTTATCCTCGCCTGTCAAACCTTTTGGCGATCTCATGCCAGGGCGGTGGTTGACTTCCAGCAGCCACGTGTGGAAGGTGTTGTCCAATGCGAAGTCAAAGCCTAAGCGACGCCAAGGTTGACGTTGGCTTGCATGCGCTGTCTCCTCATGTCTCTGGCCACCTGCTCGCAGTGGCAAAAGACATGTCATGATCCTCGCGACGGCAGTTCGTACTCCAGGGAGGATGTCTTCTTCCCAAACATCACGGCCTGTACTTTGCTGCAGGTATCGTCTAAACGTTGCAGTTGACCATATGCGCTTGAGGCTGCTGCTACCACACCTTCCCCGAATGGAGAGGTTTGAAATGTGAGCTTCCTGCACCTCCGCACCGTACGTGTCAACAAAGGGCCTTGCGCAGAGATCAATGTAACCCTTGTTGTACACCCAAACGGATGGATCCGCAACCCAGCGCACGAGCACAAACATTCGCAGGTTGTACTTGTACAAGGCAAGCTCCGAGCATTGCGTGCATGCAGCAGCATGTCCGTTTGGAGTGCCGTCCAGCTTGTTCAAGAGTGATATGTCAACCAGATGCGGGGTCTCCAAATACTTTTGTAGCACATACCCCTCACTTGTTCGCCCAGAAAATGGCAAGGGTAAAGCTGCCAGATTGTCTGAAGCCGACGCCCCACCGAACAGAACAATACCTTTGCCCATGGCACCGTCAACAGGCTTTGCTAGCCACCAGTTTTTGTGAAGAATGTTCAGCTGCAAATGTGGCAACTGCTGCTGTGCAGTCTTCAGCAACAAAGCAGCTCTTTCCCAGGGAGTGCGCTGCACGTCCACCAAGAATTCAGTGCCCACGAGGTCATTCCTCAAGAGCGCATCGCACCGCTGCAACACCTCTACGAGTTCGCTCTCTGTGCATGACCTGAGTTGTGGAACTATGATTAGCCCACTCTGCTAGCACGACTCATACGCTATTGAACAACCATCTCTGCCAAGTATCACGGGATTTTTCACAAAGCCACCTTCCGCTTCCAGGTGACCACGTAAAACCGTGAAGCAATGGCACAGCTCAAAATCCTTCCTCGGACATTGCATGATGCTGCAAAGTGTGCTGTTCTGACGGTACTCGCCTTGTTCGCCACCCTGGACATCACAATTAAGTTGTGAATGCTAGGGGCGAGTAGCACCTTGGAAGTACCCGGTGAATTCAGTGTCACTTCAGCTTCTGTGTGTGGCTATTCACTTTGGGCTCGACCAGTTCTCAAACTTAAAAGCTTCGGCTGAACTTACCAAGGCCAATTGTGGACGGCTGCTTTCCCAGGCTACAGGAGGAAGCCACTTCTACGCGCGAAATGACACTTGGAGCCCCTTCTTCTTAAATACCAGAATTTTTTTCATTTGGGAAGGACTGAGCTTTTGGAAAACAAGCACACACTGAGAAAGTCACGAGGGCACGTCATATCCAAGCTCAACAACTATACCAACTGATACCAACATGACACCAGATAATGCCAATTGTTGTCGTTTCTTTGTTGCAATTCTTTTGAATAGAAGATGCCATCAGGCAGGGTGGCGGAATGTGACCAGATGCCATGTTGGGATAACCATGGATAACCAACACGTATTTGAGCTCAAAGAAACTGTCGTGAAATTTCCACATGGACATGCCTAGATTTCCTACACACAAGGCATGCAAACTGTCCGCTGCAATCACTGAACATGGCCGGTAAACCTACCGCGAGGTCTAATCTTGACCCCGCAAGGGGTTGTCCTTTTTCTAATCTTGGCACCACAGGGGGCTGCCATGCAGGTACAAGAGGATGATCCATATATGGTAGGTTGTTCCCTTTGTTGGTCGCCATTACATTACGGCCCCAATAGTCAATAGTAATGGTGTAGATTCCAGTGTAGAGAATGTGACACATGCTTCCACATCTTGGGCACAACCAAGAACCTCTTGACTGGTGAAGAGATGTGTGGCATTGCTCTTCTGCTTAGTTACCTACTCGGGCCATTACAAAAAGAAACATGCCATGAGGAAGATGGGACCACTCTAGAAGCTGTACACAAGCAGACAATAACACGCAGGACTTGGGAGGCAGGTCTTGACCCGCACAAGAGAACCCTCAAACGTCTTCTTCATTTCTCAAACACTGGGAGCCGGGATGCAGACGCAATATTGCTTTGGGAAGTTTGACAGCGCTGCCCAGGCGGCAGTGCCCGGCAGAAATAACGTCAGGCGCTGTCTTTGATACTCCATGCGCAAGGGTTTTCTGCATGGAGTTGAATTACGACACAATTTTCAGGGGATACCATGGATTTTGCCCTAATCAGCACGTACAGGTCTACAGGGCACCTAGGAACTTTTTTTTTGAAGCGATTTTTTGGCTCCTGCATCACTGATCAAGGTCGGTCGGGCGCTACCCGGCCGCAAGGGTATCCCGCCGCCTCAGTGAACAGGCAGCCGGCTGGCCGCCACCGGAAATGTGTGGCGCGCGTCCGCCAACAGCTCAGCCAACGCGGCAACTCCAACAAGGAGAATGCTAGGGCTCGCTGGGCGGCCACGGCCATGATGCCGGCCCACCGGTGGCAAGCCGCTTGCCTCCTTGCAGCCCGGAGCCGAGCTGGCGCTGCTCGCGGCAAGGCGGAAGAAGTCCGCCATCTCAGCACCGAAGCGGTCTCCCACCTCCAGGGCCAACACGACCAGCCTGCAACGGCGGGCAGCCACGAGCTCGGGGTACGTGGTCTGGCGTTTACGCCGGCCTGCGTCAGCTGCGGCTTTGCCAGGAACACGATCAGCGCCCGCTCGCGCGGATCCATCCCGCGACACCGGGCTGACGAAGGTTGTGTCAACGGCGGCCTGAGCCCCATGCCACAGCGGCAAGCCGTATGCGGCGAGAGTCCGCCAGCGGAACATCAATGTTCATGTCGCGTAGGAAAACATTTGTCGCGACACGGGCGCCGCCTTCCCGGAGCCCCCCGCGGGCCCAAAACACCCGCGACAGGGCATGCTGCTCGGTGATCCCCGAACACATCCAGCATGCCCCCACATCGGCAACGCCGGGGCGCATGCGGAAGTGGCATCCGCAACCGCCGCAGCAAAAGAACTCGCATGCGTTCAGACGGCAAGCGAAGCTCCGGCGAGGTTGGGAGTGCTTTGATGGCCCGCGACCCGCCAAGGCCAGCCTGAGACAACAGAAGCGCGCGCGAAGCCATATCAAGTTCAGAAAGCAGGCTTTCACACGCCGCTGCGTCCAAGCAGGCCGTGGCGGCCCTCTGCCATCCTCGCAGTGGGCCCCCAAAGTTTCGCACCGCCACCTCGCTCGGGCGGGAGTTTGCAGCCAACTGTTGCCATGGCGGGGCATCAAAATTGCAGAGCGGCGCCCACACAGGGCAAGATGCAGCCCTCCCGCTGTCGTTGCAACCCTGTCTGGTGCAACATTCCTGCAACAAGCCCGGGATGTCGGTCCCAGAGTGTGGGGAGAGTGTCCGCCCATGAGGCCCAATGCCCTGCCACACGAGTGGCTTCCGCGGATCGCAGTCCGAGGCAGCCGAAGTGCAGGGGCAGTTGCGCTCGCCTGGTGGCGAAAACATCCAAATCTGGGCGCGCATCATTGGCCAGTAAATCGCGCAAGCAATTTAGGACCGCCTCGTCATGCCGGCGGGCGAAAGCCGCCGTGGCGGAAGGTGGCAAAGCACGGAGCAAGTAGTGACAACGTGGGGCCGCGCACAAGAGCAGCAAAAGCCATGCCGATTGCAAATCCGGGACTGTCGGGATTCTGGATAGCAAGGAGGCGTGAGCCGCAACTTTTTGCTGCAGGAACGCTTCGACGAAGGCATCACTTCCCAAAAGCGTCCCGCGCACAACCACGCCTTGTTCCTCGGGCGGCAAGAATGCGTCGCCAGCCCACACTGGTGGCCGCCCGGGCTGAGGCGGCACTTCCGCCAGAAGCCCACTCAACGGTGAAGAACCCGTGTTTGCCACCGATGGCTCTGGCGGGCCCTCCGCAGCTGACCAGCGATACTCTGCAGCCGGTTTCGCTGTTGTTGCCTTCCGCCTTAAAGACTCTGTCTTGGAATGTGTTGCGACCATTTCTGGAACTTTTGCTGGGGCACAAACGGCTCAGAGAGCTGAAGTATTCGCATTTACCACCCTCCTTGCAAGAACCAGTGGTAATGTGGATTGCACTGTAGACAGTCAATATGTCAAGAAGCAATGGAGCAAGCCTCACCCCAGAGGTGCACATGTTGACCTGTGGGAGGAGGCTTTTGCCCACGGGCAGGAACGTGGCATTTGTGCCACCTGGATCAATAGTCACCTTGACCAATCCTCCTTCCAGGCCAAATTTGGACGGGACCAGATGTGGCGCCGAGAGGCCAATGATGTGGTGGACAAACTTGCGAGCGAAGCTGCTGCTAGAGGGTTTAGGCCTGAACGTATGCAATTTTTCAAAGCAAGTGATGCCCACGTGGAAGCAGTGCTCCGCCAATTGGCGATGAGGGGTGCCACCATCCTTCAGGCAAAGAAGGGCACTCACCCGTCCTTGCCAGTAAGTGACCCCAAAAAAGTTGATTGCAAACCAAAAGGGCGGAAATATACCAAGGACGTTGGTCGTGGCCCCAGCCATAGCACCCGCAAAAACTACATGCAACACCTTGTTGATGGCAAAGAAAAGAGCTCCCATGCGTGGCGGTGGCGCAAGTCATGCTTGGAATGCGCTACCTGCCGGCTCACCATCTCGGCAAGCAATACGTGGAAAATCATTCATGCTAAGATCAAACGTCCTTGCAAAGCCAGGAACCTGGACCGGCATGTCAGGGCAGGCGAACTGACCCAAGAACAGGCGGACAAGCTTAGAGCGGAGGCTGCGCAATCTTGCCCCGAGGTATCCCACGCAGATGCACATGCGCAGTCGCAGCCTGCTGAAGACGCTAACATTAGCATGCCTGCCAATGTGTCTCATGCTAGGGCCAAATTCTTAGATGACCTTGCAGCCTCCACGGAAAACCACGATTCCACAAGACATCGCCTAAAGGTTACCAAGCACCAGATGCGATGTGAACGCTGTGGGGCAACAATGCCCAATCGCGCAGGGCAGGAGGTCTTGCAGCGATTTGCTGTTTCGCAGTGCATCATCGTACATCCCACTAGGCCGAAGCAGACACATGCTTCTCACCCGATGCTTGGGGTAGGCCCCCGCTTGCAGTGCATCCGTTGCTTCGGGACGTTATACTTCTGTGACGGCCGATGGGTAGGACGAAATGCCAACGAGTTTCCGCAAAACCTCATCGCCCCATGTACCCATAAGCCACATCAGCAGCAAGGGCGTGATTCTGAGCACCTTCGCCAGGCCTTGACGATGCCACATGTTGCGCAAGCATATGGCCAGAGCCAGCAGGCCACTCCTGCTTCAGATCCGTAAGTCTTTAGGTCCAGGGTGGTCTTGCCTGCATTTTTTGCTTCGCGGTTGGGGTTTGGTTTAGGTAAACTGAGGGCCCGCATATATGTCTCTTGACAGTGTGCCCATGCGCGGGTGCCTCTGGCTTTGACGTTGCCTTGCACGCAGGGCAAATCAGGGCCAGAGTCACTCGGGCTGCACTGCTGGGGTCGCCCAGGGTAAGCAAACGATGCCGTAGGCAGGAGTAGCTGTACATAGCCGACTGTAACTAAGCCCTCGGGGCAGGCAGCTCGCCCTTCGCTGGAAAAATCACTTCCCAAAGGCGTCCCGAGCACAACCACGCCTTGTTCCTCGGGCGGCAAGAATGCGTCGCCAGCCCACACTGGTGGCCGCCCGGGCTGAGGCGGCACTTCTGCCAGAAGCCCAGGCGGCTCCACGCCGGCAGCATTCCAGACCCGCGTCTTGCCGGGGTGCAAATCTATGTTGGCGTGCGCCGCCAAGGCCGCACGGATTGCGCGGAAAATCGGGACGGCCCGCTCGACTGGGCACGTGATGTATGTATCGCCCAGGAACGCATACAAGTCCTCACCCGGGCGGAAATGGGCCGCCTGCAACGCCCGGTGGATACCAACCGCATTAACGGGTCACCTTGCTCCCTCTCCGATTGAACTTGCAGGCCTCAACTTAAGCTTTTATGCGCTTGGTCTCTGCCGGCCCACGCGTAGGCGCTTAGGCACTTGGAGGCTTAGGAGCTTAAAGAGGCTGGATCGCAATAAGTAGTCCCGCCTGGCGCCTGCCATGGCATTTCATTACCCGTGGGCGGTGAGAAGGAGAAGGAGTAGAGGGTCTCATGCACTCCACGTGCAACAACAACAACTGCTTGCCGAACTTGGCGCAACGCCGGTGCAGCATCCATTGCTGCCGCAGTTGCAGGCACTGCGGGCTGCATAGGGCTTGTGTTTGCAGAGTCAGTAGGTGAGACATGCACATCACTCACAACACTAGTCTGCATGCAGGAGAAGGGATAGGAGACAGCAAGAAGAGCAGGCGGGAGTTGCATCGCTAGTCCACTCGAATTTGAACCCATTTGCAAATGTTGAGTGTCAGGAAAAGAAAGTGCACAGGATAGGGGTTCAGCAAGGAGCCGCTGACTCGCAAAAGAACTGCAGGAGATGCAATGGGTGCTGAGGCAGCTGCAAAAGTGGTGGCGGTAGTTGCTGCTCTGCTTGTGACCACAAAAGCTGCGGGCACATGGCCGGCGGTTCCTCGGGTGCTTGGGGGTTGCTGAGGTGTTTGCAGGCTCCTGCTGCGTCATCTGCTGCGTGCTGCTGTTCCAGAGGCTGATGAAGCCGCCTCACAATCCTAACAGTAGGAGCCGCAGAGGGCAACATCGTATTTGGTCTGCGAGTAGGTGCTGAGGAAAGCCTAATTTGCTGATACACACCAACACTTGATGGCATGGATCTTCCAGATCCAAGGATGCTCCAGACACACTGGAGGGCCTTGCAAGAGGCTGCGCGCCTTTCAAGTCCGCTCAAGAAACTGTGCAGGTAACATGTGCGCTGCTGCCAGCTCGGGGAGCCGCTGATCCGATTGCTATGCCAAAATTCGGGATCTCTTCAATGAATGGCCCAGCAATTTCCCCACGTGGCAGTCTGGAAGGGGCTGCAGCTTGGGCACCGGCAAGTCTAGATCCGGCGAGGGGTTTCGAGATTACGGGTGAGATCGTGCAAGGCATGTTTCACGTGAAGATGGCTTGAACAAACTAGAACAATGCAGTTGAGACTGAAATCATTGTACTTCAGATATTTCAGACTAAAATGGGCAAAAAGCAGCTCGTAATCCCGATGCAAACCCGTGGGGCTGCTGCAGGCGCCCAAAATAAGACTTGGGCAGAACTGAACCCATTGAATACCGGAAGCTTTGAAGCAACTCACAAACAGCCGGCCGCAACCCGAATTTTGTCAATCAAGCCCCGCGTTCCTTAATGAACAACTTTGCGCGAACACAATGACAGATTGACGGGCCCATCAACTGACTAATTGACGAAACATTGACGAATTGACGAGCCATTGACGAACTGACGAACTTCAAGTTCATGCGCCTCAAGATTGTCATTGGGCCCCTCAGTTCGTCGATGGAAACCAGAGTTCGCCAATCCGCAGCAAAGTTCGTCAATTATTGACGAACTTTTACTCTTATATTGACGAACTTTGTACGAACTTGTTGACGAATTGACGAACTTATTGACGAACTGACGAACTTCTTGATGAACTGACGATCTTATTGCCGAATTGACGAACTTATGGACGAACTGACAAACTTATTGACGAATTGACGAACTTATTGACGAACTGACGAACTTATTGATGAAACAAAGCGTTAATGGGTAACTGGCAATTTTATTATTCACGAACAAACGATCTTGTTGACGAACCGCCGGCTTCTTGACGAACTGAGGAACTTACTTGTTGACAACAATTTGTAGGAATGATTGCCGAATCTCTTCCGAAAAGTCATGCCTTAAGTGAGCAGCATTGAACGACAACGCAAGTAGGATAGGCTGACTTCATCTTGCGCATCGCGCTTGGTACGACTCTATGGTGCCCCGTAAGCTGAGCAAATACGCAAAAACAAAATTGTTGCCCCAGACGCATGCTCTAGTTCTTCCCGAAATGCCTGGACGGAGTGTTTTTGCAATTGCAGCTGTGTCTGTGGAGTCTTTGCTCCAGAACAGGAAATTGGACATGGCTGGCTGGATTGAAAGGCACAACACAAAATAAACAAAAGAAAACAGAAGGATTTGACACTGGGGGAATGCCAACAGACACACCAAAAAATGCCAACTTCTGCCAACTTGGGAAGGTAAATGCCAACGTCAAACTGATGCCAACGGTGGCAAGCTATACCAGCGCATGCCAACATGCCAAGTGGTCTAGCAGACAGACTGCTAGGAGCACGACCTTTGACAGAATACGTGCCCAAACACACTGGCAAAGCCACGAGGGCACGTCATATCCAAGCTCAAGAACTATACCAACTGATACCAACATGACACCAGATAATGCCAACTGTTGTCGTTTCTTTGTTGCAATTCTTTTGAATGGAAGATGCCATCAGGCAAGGTGGCGGAATGTGGCGGATCTACTCACTGTTTGACCCTTCCAGGTCGTCACTCACAGCTTAATGATCATCTCTAGACCGCACTCATGGAGAAGAGCAGTACTTGATGTCTGCTAGGGTGACACCAAACACAGCTTTGAGTCCTACCTGCAGATCCCCGAATTATGTGTCGCCACATGTCCGGCTCAGAAAACAAGCGTATTTTCACTTGATGCTCTAGCAATAGCTTCTCAGGTTCAGGCCAGCTCAAGCATTTGAGCTCAAAGAAACGGTCGTGAAGTTTCCACATGGACATATAAGCCCTCATTCCATGAGCTGTGTTACGTATCCGCTTCTGGAGTCCTAACCAACCAACGGCCCCATGTGAACACCGGAAAGCATTGATGGAAACACTGAGCTGGGTCAACACATCACGATCATCACAAGCCCCTCAGCTCTTTAGCCGGGGAAATGCCTTGAACGACCTTGAATTTGGGGCTGAACGAAAGCATTGAGATTCCTGAGCAGGCCCTGGCAGGTCTTTAGCGCTCGACGACTTTCTCTTTGTGCGGCTAGAGTAGAGTTCTGCTGGTAGTCATGGGACGGAATGCAATACGTTTGAAATCCCAAACTTTCGACCAAGATTCTTGAACTCGTCCCACTCTGAAAAGGCGGCTTTGGGACCCGCCGTCAATACATAGCTTCGGGGCACCAACGACCAAGAACAAGGATCTTTTCGTGCCAGCAGCGCCAATAAGTGCTTACCTGATGTAGCAACCTACGTTGGCCTGCTAGAATCTGCTAGAACCTGCAGGCCTCTTGTATAGCAGCAGTAGATAGCAGTAGCATGCAACTGGGGCGCGGTGTATATCTTGCACACTACCAGGCGGAGCACCGCGTCTGAAAAGCGTCAGCGGATTCTCCAGGTAAGCATTGCCCGACATTGATTTCCGCATTGCAGTGTGTCCAGGTCCAACTGATTGGCCGCTTGAATGAAGATTTACTAAGTCTAGCATGGGTATGATTGGCTGTGGCCAATACACGGCTTTGCAACCCTCTGAAAATGATTCCAGCCAAGGTTAAATTGCGGATGTAACAACGCAGAGTGTGTGGTTGGCAATCTGAGTTATGGGCGCCAATACCTCCACTGAGCGTTAACATGTCAACGGATGGTGGATGACAACGGCGCAAAGCACAAGCATTTGCAGCCTGCGAAGTTGCAAGCATCATGCCGAGGAGGATGCTGCAACAGACCTGCGTTGTAATTAGTCATACTGCAGCCCCAATAAGGGCAACCGGTATTGTCATTCATCTCGACAGGATTTCACAAGCAATGGCCTGAAAACATCTGTTCCAAGTGCACGCACCCCCGAGGCCCTTAGCAGAGGCCTCGCTGACAAAATCATGCGTTGTGAGTTGGCGCGGGCTTGACAATTTAAAGGTACAAGTAACGTCGTCAAATTCATCCTCACGTCAGCTTGCTGAGGACCATGCCTTCATGAGTTCTTCTTGCGCTGCTCTCACATGCGACCTTGCTGAAATCGTTTGCCCTTCGTTCTCATCCTAGGGCTTCATCACCCGCCTGCTCGTTCTATCAGTGATCCGGGGTGCCTTAACACCACATTGTAGCAAGGGAGGACAAACATCTTGCGCGCATCCAATTTTCCCATGCACGTGCCTGGCAGCGCGTAGGTGCGATCTGCACAAAGGAAATTCGCACCAGTGACAAAGATGACCTCAGATCGCAAATGTCACAACATTTGAGAAAAAGTAGAAAAATCCTGCGCCGAAGCCATCATAGCATCAAGCTCTGTGCGAGGAGGGTCTTGCGGTGGCAACCCATGTTGCATCTGCCTGCAAGACACCCAAAATCACCTAACTTCCAATCAACTAGCTGCATTTCTTGAACGGGTCTGAACGGGTAATGACTAAGAACACCCGCCTCGCAAACCGGCTGGTAGCTTTTGTCAAACTGCGAAAGCTGATGCAAGGGGCAACACAAGGACCTTAATTACGAGTAATGTTGATGTAAACCTCAACAGTCGCATGTTTTGCATGCGCGCGTTACATTCCCGCGGCCCATGGCTAACAACTCAGGAGATCCAAGAGAAGCTGGGTCAATATGTAAATTGTTGTCCGGAATCCATTCCGCGAGCCCATGCTGCACATCCCAAGTGGTAAATGCAGAGTTTAACTTGCAGACTGCGTGCGCGTGCTGGACACACAGCCGGACCAGCTGGGACAACGCCCGTCTAAATTGATATCATCCAACCCCGATGGTTCAACATCCTCCGTTCTTTCGCAACCTGCCCCTGGCAAAGGTACGCACATGGATGGGTAATGGCAAATGGGATCCAAAAAAAAAAGTGCGTGGGATATGGCCCTCGTTTCGACACCCCCTGGGCAGTGCATGTTTGTTTCAAGGAGTCGTCTGTTCTGGCACCCCTATAGGTATATGTCGAACTACTAAACCATGTTCCTGGAGCTTACAGCACCTTCAGTTGGCAGTGCTTCCGAGCTGCTGTATACTATGTACATGTTTCGCGTGCCAGGTACAAGGATGCTGCGGTTCTTCGGGATCTACCAGGACGCTAGGGACATGCGCGCACTTAAACGTTAATTTGTGTTAGCAGAGACAAAATGTTGCGCATGAACGACGTGTTCTTATTTTTGTTAAAGAGCCTTCGCAGCTTCGGGCCTGAAAATTGTCAGGAAGAACTCTCTCCTGCGGCCTGCTAGAGCAGTGATGGCAGACGGCAAGAAATTTGAGGAGGGGGAAGACTGCAGCGAGTTCACAGTCGACCCCCCAATTGCACCAGGGGAAAGTTCGGAAAGTTCCGACCACGCAATGCCGAACCATCTCGTGGGATTCTGCGTGTTCGATGAATACCAATGATATATGAGTAATACAGAAAATACAGCTTTTCATCAGCAGTGGTACTTAATTGCAATACGAGTGAGAATGATACAAATTAATGGACCGGAGATCCCCGCAAGTGTAGTTTAACCTGAATCTAAGTTAGAAATGTTAGGACGCCGTCGCCCGCCGAAATAAGAAGACGCGTAGAATCGCGTAGAAAAACATGACAAACAAACGAAACGGTGATCCGCGACGAAACGATGAGCATGTTGCGCGAGTGCCAAAAAATATAGATTTTTTCATGTATATATGTATGATTATGTATGGATGGATGGATGGAGCCCCTTTTTGCACAAGCTGCGCAGGTGTAGGGCGATAGTATGATTTGAACAGCGCGCGCAGGGGGGCACCAAGGATGGTAGCAGGGACTGATCCTGGATGCGTCTGCTCATTAGCAGCTATAACCCATTGTCTGCCAATGCTGATGTTCGCAGAACTGCAATTCTGCGTGAGCTCGGTCGTTCACATATTGTTTGCTTGCAAGGAATTGCCAGGAGAGATTCTGGAGAGTAATGAACCGTCACACAATATGCAAAACACCAATGGTATGATCGGGGTGCACAACAGGGTTCTCAGCATAAAGCGGAGGGCGTCAGCATTGTATTGGCCAAACGAGTTTTCAAAGAGCACAATGTTTCCAGAATTTTTCATCCTCCACCAGAATATAGAGGACGCTTTGGGGCATGCATTATCTGCGTATACATGTTTACCGAACCTCAAGAATCGACTCAGCAACAGCGAAACCTGCGATTCTGGAAGTATGTGGAGTCCTTCATTCAAAAGCTTCCTGCGAGGTGTATGCCTGTACTATGCATGGATGGCAATGCACATGTGGGGCTTACCAGGGGACCTGGGGGACAGATGGTTCGAAGCGATTGTGATGGGATTGGTTCATTTAAGGCTGAGCTGCAAAATTTCAATGGCGGTTGTATGGCCAATTTGTTTTCTTCTCAGTTTTTGGCGGCTGTCAACAGTTTCTATGATGTGGGATCAACATATTATGGTCCGCCACACGCGGATTGATTACATTTGTGTACCTTGTTCTGTTTTGTCGCGAGTGTCTAGGTGTCGCGTACAATATGGGCCTGGGGATCGATTGCAACTTATTTGTGATTTGGCAAGACGAGATCACTTCCCTTTGCAGATTGAGATTGACGTGGCATTACTGTATGATGGACATGGGGGCGGATCACAAACAAGATAGGACACCAACAAAATGGTTCATGATGCCTTGCATGGTAGCAACAGGGAGCCACTATTTCAGGTGGTTGATAAGGAACTTTCAAAGATCCTTCCTATGGTGCAGCGTTCGTTGCCTAACCCAGATGTGCTGTGGGATGCAGTGTCAACATCCATTCGTACTGCTGCTGGTGAGGTGTATGTCACAGGCACAAAAAAAATACGGGAGAGACCAGCTGACACCACCAGTGCTATTGAAGACATGCTGCAAGCAAAATCTGACATGGTCCAGTTTCGGCCGTTGCTATTGGGTTATCGTGCTGTGCAGTGGGATGGGGAGTCTACTTTGTGTCTGCAGCAGGCTCTTCATGATTTGTTCTGGGGCTGGAAAAAGATCAGCAAGTTTCACAGCTTACGAAAACAGGTGGACAAGTTCACCAAGCGGGATGCCTTGCACACAAAAACACAGCTGGTGTCGGAGTTTCATTACGCGTGGTCTGTTAGGGACATGCATCAAGTTTGGACATTGTCGCGTGTCTTGTCAGGCAGAAAGCTTGGACCCAAAAGGCGTCGGTATGATGCTGCTCGTTCTGTCCGGCCCGGTGTCAGGGATTGGGTTAAACATTTGCAGTTGGTTGGTCCTGAAGGGGGTTGTTCAGCTACTGAAGTGCTACTGAAGTCAAATGGGAGGAGATACAGGCTTTGGCGATGTCTAACGACCAGAAGTGTTTATCCATTGGGCTAGAACGGATCTCCGAGACATCAAACGGCAGGTTCGGCACAGTAAGCTGCGAAAATCGGTGGCTCCATAGGCCATCCCAACTGAGGTTTGGAGGCAACTATTGCTACCTTCTTGGCAATGGGAAAGCAAACGGCATGGTGTTGGGTTTGCTGTGTCATCATTTTTCTACACATGTGCAGTTTGTGCTGTTCAGAATGCTGTGGTCTGTACGGGTTTACGGTCGTGCCCCAGCAATGTGGCAGCGAAGCCAAGCCATTGAGTTGGACAAAAAGAACAACAAACCTGGTCCTGCAGGTATTCGTCTCATCAATAATTTGGAGGTGCTTGGCAAATGGTTCTTTTCGGCTCTCTGGAATTGGGGAACCAGCCATGCACAGAGGTACTATGCTTTTGGATATGTTCCTGCTAAGTCGCGCATCGACCCCATCATGCAGCAAGCAGTACTTCATCACAGACTCCGCCATTATCGGATTTCACATGCGTTGTCCTTGTATGACATTGCTAATGCGTTTCCTTCACCTACACGACAAGCTTTGTCAAGAATCACAAGGAACGTGGCTCAGCCATCAGACCTTGATTTACTTCAGCGACGACACAGTAATGCATACATGTCTATCGCTGCTCGGGATGGAGCTGTTTGTCTTCAACCTGGTTCGGGTAGTTTACAAGGGGATGCTGTGGCATGTGAACAGTTTTTTGAGGTGTATCATCCAATCTTGGATCGTTGGCGGGGTGAGACGCAGCAGGAAGAACTTGTCGTAGCGGATCCTGTCAGTGGCGTTGCGGTGGATGTGTCCCTCACAGGTTATGCTGATGATGTGGCTAGGTGCACCGTTGCTGAAACAAGTGAAGAGATGCACATGCTTCTCACAAATGCCAATGATGTTCTTGACAAGGAGCTTCAAAGTGCTGGCATGCAACAAAACATTGACAAGCAGGAACATGTCTTTTTTTTGGGGGCCGCCACATTCGTGAATACAATCTCCATGTTTATCGAGATGGCATGCTCCCAGGGCGCACCAAAACAGCTGCGAGGTATTTGGGTTCTTTACAGCACTTCAAGGGCAACAACTGCATGGAAATTGAAGCTCGACAAGCAGCAGCTTCACAGGGGTACTATGCCATGGGAAAGTTCTGGGCCACTGTCACCGTGCGACGTCCTGCCAATGTTGTTTTTCAAGCAATGGTACGTGGAGCAGCACTATCGGGGTTGGAGGCTCTCGTTCTCACTGACGCTGAGTGTGCTCGGTTGGATTCTACAATTCTTCGCTTTGCCAGAAAGCTCCTCAGCGGAGCGGCGTGTCACAAAACCCATACAGATTTGTGGTGTGCTGTACAGGGCTGTACCTGATAGTGATGTATGCAGTGTTGCGCATTGTTCCCTCCAAACTTGAACTTACTATCAGGAGATTACAGTATTGGCAAGCTGTTGCACGGAGGCCTGACTCACATTCAGCTGTACTGGTTGTATTTGGCACTATGCGGTATGATGTTCGTGATACAGTGTGTGCGGATGGTTCCATTGCAGACAGTGCTAATCCGTGGGCATTACAATTTGCAGAAGATGTTGCTTCGTGGCTGGTATGGGACACCGCATCTGAAAGGTTATGGGGTATTG